AAACAAACAAAAAAAAAAGTCTCTTATCACAATGTCGTTTTGTGTCTCACGAGCGCTTTACATGACTTGAATCAAACTGATTTCGGTCACTTTTTTTGTTTCAGAATTTCCAGAATTTAAAAAGACAGTAAGTCCCTGCAAAACTCGCCGTAATCAGAAATAATATTTGCAAAAACAATCTCTGTTATAGATTAAATACATCTAAAAAAAATTCATTACAAAGATGTTTTTAATAAATATTTGCACAGTCGTCAAATTATGATTTTCTTTATATAGCTCTCTGCTGTCTTTTGCTAAGTTACAACTGTCTCTCATTAACTTTACACATTGCCGTCTCTTGTCTAGAGCTCACTGGTCTCGTTCAGAGCCTCGCCTTCCCTACGGATCCCTTTTGAACGTGGCCAAACACGTTGGTGGTCTGGGCTTCAACGTATGGAAGAAAATGCAGTCTCATGTGAAATATTGTGAGTACGTTACACGTTGGGATTTTGGAACAGTGGAACTGCCTTTATTGCCTGAAATATACACAAATTTTAGAAGACACACGTGCACTAGAATGCATCTCATAGGCTCAATTCTATTAAAAGAATTGTGAATGTAGATCAGTATTACACTTCAGTCATTGCCTGAAAACCAGTGTTGTATGAACTGAGCTGTTCATCATGTATTTGGTGTCATTTGACAGTGATCCAGATCCTTCATGAAAACAGAGCTTATGCTTGTTGATGGCTATACTACAGACAGAAGGCAAAAATAACTAGTCTGTTTATTTATTTCAGACACAAAGAAATGCCACTGAACCTTGGAATCAGTACATTTTAATACTAGTTAATCTTTTCCTGCCAACACTTGATAGTGGATGTTTGTAGTCTTGAGCTCTAGAACAGTGCATAGAGATTGCACATGACTTTCCTACATTTAGTACATTTAGCATATCTCTTCACAAGAAATTTGACCCCCATTGTGGCTTTTGTCACCCTATGTGTGCAGATCCAGTGCTGTTGAACCCGAACACAGCCTCGCCTTGGCTGTCTTTGAGTTCAGACCTGGTCAGTGTGAAGGAAAGCTCAGAGCGGCTGACCGTCCCTGATAACCCATATCGCTTTGATCCCTGCGTCTTTGTCCTCGGTGCTGAAGGTTACACCTCCGGGAAACACAAATGGGATGTCCTTGTAGGTGACAACCCCAAGTGGATAGTGGGAGTGTGCAGAGAGTCATTGCCGCGTAAAAAGAAGTTTACAGTCGCAACAAACCGCGGTGTGTGGGCCTTAGGACTGAGCAAAGGGGTGTATAACGTAATGACGACTAAGCGTGAAGAGCTGCAGCTTCAGCAGCGACCTGAAAAGATTCGAGTCAAGCTTAATATGGAAAAGGGAGAGGTGTCATTTTGGGATGGAGGGTTAGGGAAGCACCTGGTCACACTTACACACAAGTTTGAAGGTGTGATATTTCCTATTTTTGGTCCTGGCCTCCATAGCTCGCCCATGGCTCTGGTTCCAGGAAAAATAGCTATACACATGTCAACAACCCAGGATAAGGTTATTGCCGTGAAGATGCGAGATTGAAAATCAATGATGAAAAACTTTTAAAAGCAAGA